GTCCTTGTGCTGAATGCCTCCCTCCCAGAAGACTGAGCTCATGAGTAACAGCAACCTTATGTCTTCTCATATATCCCAGGATGCTTAAAAGCACCTCGAGGGCTCTCAAGTGGCTATTGAAGGACCAGCCCCAGGCTGGCCCCAGCTCTGCAGCCCCCAGGCTATGCCACTGCTCAAATCCCTGAGCCTGACTCAAAATTACTAAAAATTATAACCCCCCCCAAAATTCAAAAAGTACCCTCCAGCTAGCAGAAAAGCCAAGTCTGCATCCTCACCCTAGCCTATGCCTATTCCGCTGGGAACCCAGACCCACAAACAAGAGGCAAGATGCACCAGCCCCATATACGGAGGGTGGGGGTTCAAACCTGGCTCCAGCCAAACTGCAACAAATAAATAGCTGTGCATTGTGGTGGGAGCCTGTAGTTCCAGCCACTCAGGAGGCTGAGGGAAGAGAATCGCCTAAGCCCAGGAGTTGGAGATTGCTGTGAGCTGTGATGCCAGGGCAATCTACCAAGGGCAATAAAGTAAGACTCTGTCTCTACAAAAAAAAAAAAGAAGAAGAAGAAGAAACTGTAAACAAGAGGCAAGATGTCCCCAGGGCAGAGAATGCAGAAGCATGCCAGCAGGACACTGGTTGGACATCAATGCCAGCAGGACACCTAGTACAGTGTCAACATCAATGGGATTCCACAACCCAGGGTCGAATATCCAAAGGATGGTACAAAAGATGAGTAAGAGCAGGGGCCAAGAGGGCACAAGCGATAGGAGTGGCTTCCAGATGTACTCTAGAGATTGGGAAGGTTACAGAAAGCAACATGAGGCTGCTTCTGTAAGAACAGACAGTGCTTTGAAGGTCTGACAAGGTTCTGAAGCCAATAAAAGTAAAGGGATTGTGGTTTATTAGGTGCCCATGGGCAAGATACAGGATCAAGTGTCGTTAGTGGACACAACCACCATCTCAGACTGGTATTGGCTCTACTAGGCAAATCCAAAAATCGAAGGTCTGAAAAGAAGGCCGAGCCTACAGCTACTCTCTAGGACACAACATGGCTAGGATCAAACCCAAAATACTTGTCTCTTAAGCCAAATGCTTCATGGTTGCCAGTCTTCCTCACACTTGAGAACACATGATCCCCCAAACCCAGCCAAGACAGAGTGAGAAAATGAACCAAAAGTTGTAACTGGAAGCATATACTTGGCACTCAAATTGTATGACAAGGCTTTGAAACTGCAGAACAGTACTTGGTCAACCAGATTGTCAACGAAATTGAAAGAAACTGTAAATATTCTCGCAAAGAATTAAAAGACAGGGTGGTGCCTATGGCTCAAAAGGTTAGGGGGCCAGCCCCATATGCCAGAGGTGGTGGGTTCAAACCCAGCCCTGGCCAAAAATAAATAAATAAAAATTAAACTAAAAAAAAAAAGAATTAAAAGACAACCAAGTGAGGTGGCTCACCCCTGTAATCCCAGCACTTGGGAGGCCAAGGTGGGTGGATCACCTGAGCTCACAGGTTCAAGAACAACTTGAACCAGAGCAAGACCCCATCTCTAAAAATAACCAGGCATTGTGGCAGGCGCTTGTAGTCACAGCTGCTCAAGAGGTTGAGGCAAGAGAAGCGCTTGAGCCCAAGAGTTTGAGGTTACTGTGAGTTGTGACACCCCGACACTCTACAGAAAGTGACAAAGTGAGACCATGTCCAAAAAAAAAAAAAAAGAATTAAAAGACATGAGACCTGGCTCATAAAAAACACACCCACGGTTTTTAGCCTGTCTACCTGTGCAGAGTTGTACAGCATTGCTGACTGGGCTATCAGAGAACAGAGTCAGGCTGGGAACCCCTGCCTGGGGGTTCCAGGAGAGGATGGAGGTGGGCCAGGTGAGACCCCAGGAGAGGGTGGAGATGAGCCAGGTGAAACTCCAGGAGAGGGTTCAGGATGCAGAACCAGGTCTCCCAGTAACCAATGCCAGGCTCCTTCCCGTAGGCCAGGGGTCCTCAAACTGCAGCCTGCCGGGTGTTTTTGCCACTGCTGCCTGTCCTGCTTAGCAGCTGACTTGTCCCAGGCCCACAGTGTGGCCCTCCAACAGTCTGAGGGACAGTGAACTGGTCCCCTGTTTAAAATGTTTGAGGACCCCTGCCCTAGGCCATGCAGACACCCCCTTGAAAGTCTCTAAAATATCATCTTGCTTCACCTATCTGGAAGAAAAAACGTAAAAGCAAATATACTAAATATACTAAAATATCAATGAAATGATTTCTGTGTAGCAGAAGAAAAATTAAGATAATTAAAACACAAGCTTCTAGATCAAGAGCATGGGCTCTGCATCCAAGTTTCCTCCCCTTTTGGGGGAGCATAACCTGTAACCCCGACACCAGACAGTCGAAAAGACTCCCAGCCAAAGACTTCCAGTCACAGGGGGGAAGGCACATCCTCCTGAACCTCACCTTTATGCTCTTAAGAACACAGAAACAAGTTCCCCAAAGCAAGATGCAGTTCAGTGGTCCTTGTGGGAATGGTTTTGCCCTCAGAGGACATCTAGCAATGTCTGGGTACATTTGGGGCATGCTCCTGGTATGTGGTGGACAGAGGATTGGGATGCTGCTACACACAGCCCCCGTAACAAGGACTCATCTAGCCCAAACATCCACAGGCTGGCCCACCTACTAGTGTGGCAGAGCCAGATGTTCGGTGAGGACAGGTGTGCGCAGGGCCAGCACTTCATAACTGTTCACTCTCCTCCCCCTTCACCAAGAAAAAAGTACCTACCAGGGACACAGGAGCTCCACCACCAGCCCCAAGACTGTGAGGAAGTGTATATCTCAAGGGCTATAAACCTTGAGAGGGAGGAATCACCCACATGTCAGTGGAGGATTTACTTGGCAGGAAAGCAGTTTTTTAAATTCCTACCAGGTGAAGATCTAGCCCAGTACATGCCAGTTCCTCCTACCGCACAAGAGAACATGCTCTTAAACTAGAGAAGCACAGCATCTACTGCACCTACACTCCCTCCTCTAACATCTACACTGCTGAACCTACATTTGGACCCTTTCTTAAGACTGAATAGTCCAGCCCATGAACTATCAGCTCTAGCAATATTCTGTTTAATTAACTCTGTATTAACAAATGCTTCTAATCAAGGATTCTAGTTTGCCAGTAAAATTTCCCTCATCATTAGGAATTACTCCTGAAAACTTCTAGGAAAAAAAGTATTAACTCAGCAGTAAGATCACAGTCAACAGAACAAAGGAATTCTGACACTGTTTCTTTTACCTACACAAGTATCTGTGTAACTCTTTTAATCAGAGGTTGTGTATTAATAACTACTCTAGAATGAAATTACATTTCATGACTGTGAAACAACAGAGGACTTGAAGTAGAGCTTTTTCCTGAGTTTTTCATGTCCTTTCCTACGTCATTCTGGGACCAATGAATAGATTTCTGGAAACCTTTCCCGTCTGGTGTTGCCTGTATTCACCAGCCAATACCAAAAGTGACACACCACCACAGTTCTGACCTTCAACTCTTCCTATTTGGGAATGGCAGGCCTGGAGGTGCACTGAGACAGATGGTCACTGGCTACTGGTTACCCCACTAATGGCAGCATGGTATCACCACAAATATCTCTCAGAGCTGTAGGGTCTTCATCTCCAAACCTACAGTAACCCACCAATGTCATGCAATTGAGTATAAAAAACTACCCAAATCTTCAAGTGGTCTAGCAAAGAGGCCATTGGTAATGTCAGCAACAGTGCCCCACCTCTCTTTAATCAAGTGGTGGGTATGCAAGTGCCGGGAAACATCACTGTTAAGTCACTGATTCAAGAGGCACAGCCTTGCTCTGCTTTCTTAGGGACCAAGCACACCAGGGCAGTCTGACTTCAAGAGCCATCACTACAGCAGGTGTGTGCTAATGAGTGCCAGCACTGCTCTAAGCTGTATGTATGGCCACCCATTTCACCCTCAGGTGACACAGGTGCTACCATTGTTTATAACAAGACTAAATGACCACCCCCGTGGTGCCTGTGGTCTCTCAGTTAAGTGGTGATGGGGGGGGGGCCCATAAGGGGATGTCAGTACTCAAATCCCAGCAGGATGGCCCAGATTCTGTACTTTTCAGTCCTCTGCTAAACCTCCTTGAGGTTGGCAGGTCTTACAGCAAGTTTGCCACACCGAAACCACCACCACCTGTCACTGCTGAGATGGACGTGAAGACTAGGGTGCTCTGGGAGGAGAGAAAAGCCGCCCAGCCCTCCAGAGAAGGAATGCAGACTCACAGAGCTCAGCCTCAGCTCCCCTGGCAATGCGGTGACCTTGACCATTCAAGGAATGTCCCCCCAGGTGCTTCATTTTAGTCAGTCACCATCAAACCCTCTACTAACTGGGCAAACGGAAAATATCGGCCCCTTTCTCTAAAAACATAAATTTCATTCTAATGGAATACGACTTGGGTTAAGTGACCACCCAAGGTCAAGCAACTGGCAACAGAGTGGCAAGAGCGGTATTTCAGGTCTGGTGACGCCCAGCTGAAAAGGTTCCCTATTAGGTCGTTGGATCTTTCCTGACGGGCTCCCTAATTAGTGACCGGAACCCCACACACCCACACCTTCCAGCAGCAAGCTTCCGGGAGGACAGCCGGACAGCCAGTCACCGGGCTCTCTGGCGGAGCGTTCCCGAGCCCACAGCCCGGAAACTTCGGCGTCCACCCCGCCCCCAAACACACCAGCCTGCCCACCGCCAGGGCTGTCGCCAGTTCGGTTCACTTTCTTCATAAAACGGAAGGACCACGACCTGCTCCGACAGCGAGGCGAGGCCACAGCAGGGCCTCACACTGACCGCACTGGCCGCACCTGGGCGGCACAGAGCCCGCCGCCCCGGAGCCCGCCCGACCCGGCCGCGCCCAACCCTTGCTGCCCTGACCCCGGCCCCGGGCCGCCCCTCGCGTCCACGGGCACCGGCGAGAGGTGCCGCCGCCGCTTCGGCTCGCGCTCCGCAGACGCGCACCTTGAGGGTCGGATACTCCTGGACCTTCAGGGTCATGGAGAGCTGAGCGGCCGACTCCTGCACCGCCATCTTGGTTCGGCCAAAACATAGGCGGGCCGAGGACGCAGGCGCGCTGCTCTACGGGTAATGACGTCACGCGCGCCGGCCGGGGCGGAGGGTTGGGGGCGGGCCGTCGCGTCAGCACCAATCGCGTCCGCCCAGCCGGTCCGGCGGCGGAAGAAGGCGCAGGCCAATCACCGCCGGCCTGCTTCGCGCTTAGCCAATCGAGACAGCCCTGGCTGGCGCTTCTTGCTTGAATCTCTGCAGCGTCCAGAACGCCGCGAAGGTTGCGGGATCCCCGGAGGCTGCGCCCGCTTCGGGGCGGTGCCGGGTCCGAGGCTGGGGCTGCGGCCTCAGCTGTGTAGCGGTGGGTGGGACTGGCGGTCCTGGTGCGGGGGGTCCACGAGGGGCGCTGCTAGGGGGCCCTTGTACTCCCCTGTGCTGAGCTGGTCCCCGTGAGACTAGACCCAGCGGCGTCAGTCCCCGGTGGCGGCGACGCGTCTAACAGCACGGCTCCTGGCCACTTGGTCAAACTGTATGTACCAGTAGCCTGATATTGCAGACTACTTTTCTTTGATCCAGTAATAGCTGCTGGAGTCCTGATGTGGAACCGCGGGCTTCCCACTGGAAGAGAAAAGACCCAGTATTTAAAAGTAATTTATGGACAAGAAATTCACGAAACAAGAAGGGCCTGTGTCCGGTACGGTTCTTGTGGTGACGTGGCCTTGGCTTCCAAGGCGGCAGCCGCTTCACGTGCTGGGCCTTTCACATGTCACCAGGTCTCCCCTCCTGCCTTTTTAAAAATAAAAATGAAATCAAGTTTTATTGATTTGATTGATTTGGAAATGATTCCAAATTAAGTTATTTCTTGTCTCACATAACTCATTTCTACAGAATTTTTACCTTTTGGGGGGGGTAGGGATAGAGTCTCACTTTATCACACAGCTCACAGCAACCTCCAATTCCTGGGCTTAGGCAATTCTCTTGCCTCCGCCTCCTGAGTAGCTAGGATTACAGGTACCCACCACAAAGCCCGGCTATCTACACAAGTTTTAAAATACTTAGTGGTTTTGTTTTCTTTTAAAAATATCCAGGCGACGTGGCACTGAGTGGAGAATCCCTGCCTGGAAAATGCACAGGGGTTTTTAACTGCTACACACTAGAAGTGGAATGCCAGAAACCTGCCTTCATTTTAGGGTATTTTTCTGTGCCCCCCACCTCTGCACAGTGGCTCACACCTGTAATCTCAGCTACGTGGGAGGCCAGGTGGGATGATCGCTTGAGACCAGGAGTTTGAGACCAGCCTCGGCAATAGATCCAGACTCCATCCCTAAAAAAATAAGAGAATATTTGTTCCCAAGCAAACAATGGGCTCACTGCCTGACTCACATAGAAGCCAATACCATGGTGCTAGCTTTTGAGACAAAGGCTTTATTGCAGGGGTTCTCAAGTTTTTTAAACAGGGGGCCAGTTCACGTTCCCTCAGCAGGACAGGCAGCAGCAGCAAAAACACCTGGTGGGTGGGATAAATGTCGTAGGCGGGCTGCATTTTGAGGATGCCTGCTTTATTGCAACTCAACTGGCAAGGAGGCAGGTGACAACCCTCAAATCTCCCTGGAGCTGAGAGCTGGGGTAGATTTTATAGGTCTGAGGCATGATCTGATGGGATCTTGCGACAGGTGTGGCCCAGAGGTGTGATCCAACTGCATCGTGTCATGGTGTGTCTGCTTCTTAATTTCATCCCCATTTCTTAGTTGGAGCACATAGGGCCTGTGTGTGGCAGCATGCTTGGTTAGATGATCTGCAACCCCAGAGACGATGGCAACTGAAAAACAACTCACCACTTTAACATACAATGTTGAACAAGATTGTGCCGGTTTTGTGGTTACCTATTTTTCTGTTTTATCATGCATCTGTGGGCAGAGTAGAGCATTATTCTTTAAATATGTGGCTGAATACTCCAGACATCCAGGTACCTTTAGGTGTTTTGAGGTACATCTTGCAACAAAGTGCACATTTTGACTGTGCAGCTCTGCGCATTTTCACCTATGTGTGACCACAATCCTGGTTCACCTATGTGTGACCACAATCCTGGTGAAGATTTAGGACACTTCCCACTTCTGACCTTCCCCCATAAATCTGTTTCCTTAAATTTCGTGTAAATGGAGCTGTACATTGTGTGCTCTTGGTCACTTTCTTTCACCATCATGTCTGATACTCTGCCATGTGTGGCCTCTCCTCACAGACTGCTTTTGTTTCGTTAGAGATTCAAGATTAGCCCAAAGAAAAGGAGGCAGGTTTCATTTTCATGGCAAAATGATGCCATCCTGGCACCATTTATAGTCAGGGGTATTTAGGGATGTCTAGCACATGGGATGTTTTAAGCCAGAGACCTTAGGTCTTTGGTGTATGGAGGAAGCGCAGGCTGAGGCAGGTGTCAGCAGCAGTCAGAGATCAGTCTCAATCCTGGACAGAATGTGCTTTCCACCTCTGCCCCTCAGTCGGATTTAGATAATTATCCAGATAGAAGGAAGGCTCCTCCTAATGAAGAGAAGAGTCTCCATGTTTCTGTCTTGCCCAGGGGAGCCAGTGAGTCCTGCCACCACTTCTCAGGAACACAATTCTCTGATGGAGAACTCTTCCACCAGAGCCCACTGGAGAGAGTGATTGATGACCCCAGGTGCTTCGGCCTGGCACAGCAGAAGGGTGTATGGGGCCTGTGCCCTACCCATGGGAACCACCCAAAGGTGTACTTTCAGTTTAAAAAAGCTGTTGCTTGCTTGGCTTACATGGCAGGTCCTGAAATTCTTTTCTCAACTTTCCTTAAGAACTTGGAAAAACCTCCACATAACTATATGTGAGCAGTTCTGGGGGAGGTAGTGTCCAACACAGTTGAGATCCCAGAAAAGTGAGAGGTCTGGGGGCTTTGGAGAATGGCCCCAGGGCCTGGCCCTGTCAAAGCAGATCTAGTCTTCAGAGGAGCAGCAGGCAGGGCATAGCCAGCTCCCTGTGTCTGCCAGCCCCTAAAGCCCTGTTTTGAGGTCCAGAAGTTGAGGTCAGCACTCACCTTGGGGCCATGCCCCTGGGGAAGGCCACTCCACGACCTTTCCTGGGCCACAGCAGGACACATCAGTCACGGGGCAGACTGAGGGTTGGGTCCCCTCACCAAGGAAAACAGGGTGTGCTTTAGGGAGCCAGGAGACACCTGGACAAAAGTCCCTTCAGCAAACAGGGGCCCTGGCGGAGGCTAGTGCCCACCCTGTCTTGTGCACCCCGGAGACACCTGGCTGCTGGCTTGGGCCTAGCCCCTTGGGTCTCTCCCTCTCTGCATACCTGGCACAGGACCCAGCACTGGTGATCCCAACCCACCTGAGCGGGCGGAAGACACAAGATGCGGGGGGGGGGCGTAGCTGGAGGGGTCGTGGGGGGTGTCAATGGGGGGGTCTCACTGAAGGACGTCACTCTTGGGGGGGCTCACTGGGGGGAGGCCCATCACACCCAACTCCCTGACTCTCCTTCCCGAGCAAGGCACTGGGCCCCAGAGTCATGCAGGACCCGCAAGAGGGCTGAGTCCCGCGAACTCCCTGTCGCGGTCGCCAGTTTGCGGACAGGACCGCCCCACTCGGGAAACGCCACTTGGGTCTGCAGTCCCCGCGGAGGACGCAGCTCTAGGCAGCAGAGGAGGTGGACGCAGAAGGGCGCCTTGTGACGCCGAAAACCCGCCCTCCTCGGGAACCGAAGGTTGGGGCGGCAACACGAACCTCGCGCCCGCCAGGCCCACTGGCTGCGGCGGTTCCGGGACCCGCCCACGTGGGGAGGGGCAGAGCGGGCGGGGCGGAGCGGAGGTCTGGGCCTCCGGCAGTCCCCGCCGCTGTCCTAGTGGGTCGCGATCCCTCTGCTGGGCGGCCCGGTCTCGGGAAATGGGCCAGGGAGTGGGGCCAGGCGGGGCGGTGAGGACGGCCCCTTCACCGGGCGGATTTCCCCGAGCTCGACTATTTAAAAACCTAATTCCTGAATCAAAATCACCGTGGTTGACTGTTTCATTCATAAGAAAATAACATTTTTTTGTTTTACCCTGATACTGTTTAGGAATACAATTTATAATTAGTTTCTGTGATTAGCTGTAGAGATTGAATCCACGCAAATCCCACTATTCTGCCTCGGTGCCCGCACCACAGTGGTTACGGCATCAGCCACATACACCGAGGCTGGCGGGTTCAAACTCAGCCTGGGCCAGCCAAGCAACAATGACAACTGCAACGGAAAAATAGCCGGGCGTTGTGGCGGCCCCCTATAGTAGTCCCATCTACTTGGGAGGCTGAGGCAAGAGAATCACTTACGCCCAACAGTTGGAGGTTGCTGTGAGCTGTGACGCCACAGCACTCTACCCAGGGCGACAGCTTGAGACTGTTTCAAAAACAAACAAAAAAAACCCATCATTGTTATTTTCACATGTGCTTAGAAGTGTCTCCAAACAAACACCGGGCTGCTTGGAGAAAGAGGCCCAGACCTACTGGCCATGTACCCAGGGCAGCCTCCCTGTCTTGGGTTGTGGAAATTCCCTCCAGCAAGTGGTATGAGCCCCAAAATAAAAGTTGAGTAACTTTGTCAGGTCTGGGACAAAGGTCAGGCTTGGATCCAGAAGGACCTAACTCCTCTATAGGATGTCCCTGGCATAAGACAGCCCAGCTGGGGCCCTGGGGCCAGGAAATTCTCCAGTGAGATGTGCCATCTCACCCTGCTCTTCTGTGACCTCCATGAGGAAAGGAGGAACTTGTGTTTGTGTGTACATGTGTGTCCCGTGTGTGTGAAGCCTGCCTGAAAGGAAGCCAAGACTGCTTTTGGTGAGAGCTGCACAAAACTCTCCACCCCCATGGTCTTTTTCTGGAAATGGGTGTTGGGAAGGAGAATTGGGGACCAGGTGGGAAGTGGATTATTTGGCACCAATCTCCAAAGTCACAAAAAGATTTTCTTCTTATTTGAGGGTTGCACTGATGGAGCCAGTCCACTGTGTTCCCAACTCTGAGCAGATCACAGAGGGTGACTACTGCAACATAGTCACTACAACTGCTCCTGTGTGTGGTGG